AGAAAAAGCCAATCCCCATCCACTGTTGTATTATTCATATAGCAAAATTGTGCAGGTTTGGGCGAGGCTAAAGCCAGCAGCCAGGAGCTTCATCTACATCTCCCACTTGGGAGCAGGGGTTGAAGAGCTTGGGCCATTTCTGCTGCTTCCCAGGCATGTTAACATGAAGCAGGACTGGAAGTACAATAGCAGAGAGTTGGGGAAAATGCCCACAGTGGATGCCACGTCACAGGTGGCAAATGAGCCTGCTGTGCCACAATGCTGGCCCTTTGACCTTTACTACTACTACTACTACTTGCCTTTCTTTGCTTAAGATTTATTCATGTTACTTGGAAGGAGAGAGAGAGAGAGAGAGAGAGAGAGAGATAGAGGTACTCCAACCCCTGATTCATCCCAGACCTTGACCCATCTGAAGCTGGGAACCAGGAACTTCTTCCAGGTCTCCCATGTGAGTGAGTCCCAAGGGTCCCAAGGCTTTGGGCAGTCCTTGACTATTTTCCCAGGCCATCGACAGGGAGCTGGAAGGGAAATGGAGCAGCCAGGATATGAACAGGTACCCAGCTGGAATGCCTGTTTTGGCAGGAAAAGCATTAGCCTGTTATGTTAGCTCACCAGTCCTGTGACTTTTAATTAAAGGCACAGATCTTCCTCTGTAAAATGAAGCTCTGTCAATAAATTACTGCTAAACCAATGTATTTGGCTCTCTTACATATCTTGGCTCATCAAATACTTGTTAGGTTAATTATTTAGAGGAGAGGAGTCTAACAGCAAAACAGTTTCCATATCTACTATGTGAAACAGGAAGTGTAGACTAACAGGTATTAAAATGATGAGGAATTGGAAATAGAGTGGTTGAGACGCCTTTAACACATATCAGAGTGCCAAGGCTTCACTCCCAAATCTGGATCCCAATTGCAGCTTCCTGGAAATGCAGATACTGAGAGACACATGATGTCTCTGTGGGCCGGATTCTTGTCACCCACATGGGAAGCCTAGATTGAGTTCCTGGTTCCAACCACTGCTGTCGTTTAGAACTCACATCAGAGAAATCTCTCTCTCTCTCTCTCTTTCCTTCCTCTCCAAACCCCTCTATGTGCATGTGTGTCTGCCTCTTAAGTAAAATATTTTACAGTCCTATACAGTTAATTTTTTGTATTTTATAGTGCTTAACTGTCACAACCCAAATCCACATATATGAAATGTGGCTGGAAGAAAAAGCCAGTGATGGCCAGAGGACACATAGATATTCAGTTGTGCCAGTGAACATAACAGGTCCTTCACTTAGGGTGTTGACGAATAAAGAGCCTCAAGTGAGATCTGCCCTGAGAAAGGCTTCCTTTACTTGTGACAAGTGAAGGAGATGGTAATGACTTACAGTCCTTTAAATTAATTACTTCCCTTAGAAGTAGTATTCTAGAACTTTTATAGTAAAGGTTGGAGAGGTATCCAGGATTTAAAAAGTAGGGGTGAGCTTTGCCTGCTCAGCACAAGTTTTAATACAGTTTGTGTTCAAAATTTGGCTCATGTTGATTTATAGCTTTAATATAGTGGTCTGCTTTTCTGTGACCACAAAGGCGCAACATAAGTTTTAGTGGTATACCATCTGAAAAACAAGTTCAGGAGTAATCCTTTCAGATTCTCTGCCAGTGGTCCAAACACTCTCTTTTGAGAAGACATTCTACACACTTTGTTTACAATAGTGGTCGAGAGTACAGGCCTTGAATGAGGTGTTATCCTAGGGATGTGATCCTCTGGTTGTAGAGCCCCAGAAATGTTACTGTGAGCTATGATCTCAATATAAGACCCCATTTAGTAACACTTGCTAAGTAACTCACGTCATTCAAAGCACACTATAACGTGATTCTCACAAACGCTATATGAGATTCCTTTTTTTCCTTAAGATTTGTTTATTTTTATTGGAAAGGAAATCTACAGAGAGTTGGAGATACAGAGAGAAAGATTCTCCATCCATTGGCCCACTCCCCAAGTGGAGGCAACAGCCGGAGCTGAGCTGATCCAAAACCAGGCGCTTTCTTCAGATCTCCCACATGAGTGCAGGGTCCCAAGGCTTTGGGCATCCTCCACTGCTTTCCCAGGCCACAGGCAGGGAGCTGGAATGGAAGTGGAGCAGCCAAGACATGATACAGTGTCCATATGGGATCCTGGAGTGTGCAAGGTGAGGATTTAGCCACTGGGCTATCACATGTGGGCTCTATGAGGTTCCTTTGATTGCTATTTTCATTTTATATTTGAGCCACGTAAGGACCCATGTCAGGATTATAAACCCAAACAGCTCAGAGTCCATGATCACCGCTTCCAAGCTCCACCACTTCCTTAAGTGTTGATGGCGTAATCAGAGAGACTCCTCAAAGAATGACATTTGATGGGACCATGCACAGGACCAGCAAACAAAACTGGCTAAAAGCTTGTGAGGAGACACAGAATCTCTTTAGAGTTCTGAGGCAATACAGAGCAATATGTTTGCAGGAACAAAGACAGGGCGATTGGGACCATAATCCAAGAATCTGTGTTACATCATTGGAAGTAGAGGTTACACAAGGCTGACAGGGATGGGAAATGAAGTTGCCTTCATTTTCTGAACATGTGTACCCAGGTGAGAGACCTTAACAGTTTGTCATCAAGTTCCCTCCCAAGAGCCTGACTCTCACTTTCCTCTGGGTGTTGGAGTCATCCCCTTCCCTTTACCCCTTGTGAATTGAAACAATGTTGGCTCAGGGGACTGCCAATTGGGATAAGACTCACTTAAGAGTAAGAAAGGCTCTCAGATCCTGCCTCACCCCTTACATATCCTGAATCAGGCAAGACCAAAGCAAACATTGGATTTTCATTGGTTCATTGCTGGGCAGGTGATCTGGGGGCTACACTAACTATACAATTTCGATTCTGAGAGATGGGACTAACAGTGAAGGATTTGAAACAAATACTATTTTCAGAGTTTAGTGGAACGATGACTTCAATAATTGTGGTTTGGAATATTCATCTCTGTGAAACCACAGCAATTAATTTGAAAGGGATTCTAGTTTAACAAATGTATTTGCTTTATTTAAAACTCAGAGGGATGGAGAGAGAAAGAACAAAATAGAGAGAGAGAGAGAGAGAGAGAGAGAGAGAGAGAGAATTGCATTTTCTGTTCATTTCCTAGATAGCTGCAACAGCCAAGGCTGCACCAGGATGAAGCCAGGATGAAGCCAGGAGCTGCTGGGTCTTGCACGTGGGCGACAGGGTCCCAAACACTTGAACTGTTTTCCACTGCTTCTCCTCAGCCATTATCAGAAAACTATATCAGAAATGGAGCTGTTAAGACATGACCCAGTTCCCATACTGGGTGTTGAGGTTGCAGGTAGCGGGTTTACTCACTATGCCACAGTACTGGCCCTAGAAGACGCTTTAAGGGCCATCTTATAATTCTCCTTTTGATTTTTAAATTCATTATACAGCAAAAAGATGTTGGGAATATTTGAAAGAATCTTTGAAAGTGTCGGGAGAAGGAAGTTGTCCTTTATGCTGCTATAAACTAGCTAGGTGTCGGCATGGGTGGCAGAAAGCCAAGTTTTCTGAAATGTCATTCATGACACAGCAGCTGTGACTAAGACCTGATGTGGTGTGATGTTGTTTCAGGAGGAGATGCTCTTGATAAGCTGCACAGCGGGTGAGAGAACCTTACACAGGTTTGTTAAGCAGATGATTGAAGACACTCGGTGAGGCGAAAGTTTATTTTCTAGAGATCGGCTGGGTGCTCCTGAAGTTGTCTCACAGAGATGCTAACCCGTAGAAAGAAGAAATGTCAGTGACAGTTCCTTGTAAGTAAAAGATGATCAAAAACATTTTTTACAGTTTCTCTGAGTCAATGGGAGTAGAGCAAGTGAGACCAAATTAAATTTCAGACACTAGTTCATTTTCATAAACAGAGCTTGATGTGTTCAGTCGCAACTGAAACAACAAAAATAACCTAAATTGAGGCTACAGAAAGTCAAATCCATCTAAGGAACATCAATTAACTTCATGGTTCTCTGCTTACTGTTCCTGGTATCAGTAGGGGGGACAAATCACAATTCAATACTCTATTCTCTAAGGTCTTACCCATTAATGGACTCACAGACTGAGTGAAGAGCATTAATTTCGTAAGTGGACAAAGTAGGTGTTACAGGAACATAGAAAAAAGAAAAACAAGTGGCTTTTTCTGGAGTCAGGACAGCCCATTATTAAGCAGCCAGCATTTGACCAGATTCTGAAGTGTGAGAAAGGGGAGGACAGGAGGACGAGAATTCAGGAAGCACCATGTGATCAGGGTTTGAAGGCACAGAAATGTCAGCAATCAACGACCTCTGTTTTAAAGTGTCTGTCTTTCAGAAAGGTGGATGCAGTGTCCCTTCTTGAAGAAGGGACTTGAGTATCATTTTGAGTGAATTCAATACTTAAGATATCAAAACCCAAAGTTTGTTTCTGGTACAGGTCATTTGCATTTGAAAGGGATATTTAAGGTTCAGTGAGTTGTATAAATAGGAGGAAAAGTATTACTATGCTATGGATTGAATTGGTTAGTTTAACATCTTTTTCATCTATTAACCTTAATGTCACAATCATTATGTCATAGATTAGGATAAAAAAAAAAGCCAGAAACTGCTAACAGAAACTGAAGAAGGAGAGAAATATAGGGCATAACTGGCCCTAGTCACTATTTTATACATTTAAAGGCACATTGTATCTTCTCTTTTCTGTTTTTCTTTTTGTGTCTGCTACACATTGTGCATGAGGATGGATAGAATGTGTAACTATGTATATGTATTCCTTACCTGTCTTAATACGTGTATTTTGGAAATACAGGGTTTATTCTCACTACCACTTTATGATTTTGTTGTTGTTGTTAATCCTTCAAATCTGCATTATCCAAGTGTGGTAATTATTTCTGTTCTTGTCCTATCAGGAAAACCCAGATGGTAAACTCACACACATATTTCTGAGTTTGAGATCAAAATTCATTTCAAGATGCTTTAAAAACATTCATCTGAACATTTGGTCATTTGCAAATGTTCCTCAGTGGTGCCTACATTTTTGGGTGAGTTTTCTGAATTGCTTTGCTATACAGAATACATGCTTCCCTAACTCAAGTTGCCTACTTTTTATCTGAAAAGTGTTTTTTTCCTATTTTATTCAGTTGATAATTATTTTTCTTTAAAACTCAGCTCAGGCCTAGTGAAGTAGCATGGCAGCTAAAGTCCTTGCCTTGCACGCATTAAGATCCCATATGAGCACTGGTTCTAATCCCGGCAGCCCTCCTCCCTGTCCAGGTCCCTGCTTGTGGCCTGGGAAAGCAGTCAAGGGCAGCCCAAAGCCTTGGGACCTTGTACCCGTGTGGGAGACCCAGAAAAGGCTCCAGGCTCCTCATTGGTTCAGCTCCAACCACTGCATCTGGGGATTGAATCAACAGACAGAAGTATTTCCTCTCTATTTCTCCTCTCTGTATATCTGATTTTCCAATAAAATAAAATGAATCTTTAAAAAAACTCAGCTCAAGCGATTCTTCTAAGAAGCCATCTTTAGTCTTCCCAGTCTGAGAAATGACACCTATCACTGATAGTCTGCAGTGTACTCTACTTCCTAGTCTACACAAGGATGAATGATTGACATTATCTACTTGATCAATGCCAGTGTAAGTTCATTGTTGAAGTTTGGATTCATTGACACATTTTGTTTCCAATTTATGCATATAAACGTTAGCTAAGTAAAAAGAAATGATACACTATTCTATCAATCTCATGTACAAAATTTACTCCTATAGAGTAAATTTGAGAAAGTCCATACAAAATGAAACTAGAGAGTATAACTTTATATTTCATATCTGTAATGTAGTATCCTTATGAAACACAAATAGGTAAGAATCTTTCCATTCTCTCTCCTATGAGCTTTCTCATCTGGAAAGTAGACATAACAATGGTACTGATTAGATGTGTTTACATTAATATGTTGAATACAAAGCATTTGTTAAAGTGCTAATATGAAGGTATGCTAGAAGTTCATGCAAAATGGAATGCAAGGGGGGCAGGCATGACAGCCTGGTGTTTAAAGTTCTTGCCTTGCATGTGCTGGGATCCCAAATGTATGCCAGACCCTGCACCTGCCTGGGAAACCGAAACATCTTCCTCTGTGTCTCTCCTTCTCTCTGTATATCTGACTTTCCACTAAAAATAAATCTTTTAAAAAATGGAATGAAATGATACATTTATTTTGATACAAAAATTGCTGAAATTCATGCATAGCATTCTTATGAATTAATGTTAATAGGGTAGTATTAACAATAACATCAGCAATAATGGTAATAAACGTGACACTGAGTTGAGAGATATATGAACTTTTCACCTGTGTTTGGATGCCATGTTAATTCAGTTTTTTCTCCTTTCTTTCTCCACCTCAGTGTCTCATGGAACAACACAACCACTCCAGTTTGACTGAATTTGTGCTCCTTGGCTTCCCCAATGTGGGGCATGTCCGGGGCTGGCTATTTGTCCTGCTACTTATAGCATATTTATTCACCATCTGTGGCAACCTGCTTATCTTCTTGGTCATACGACTGAATGCAGCCCTTCACACACCCATGTACCACTTTGTCAGTGTTCTTTCCTTCTTAGAGCTGTGGTATACAGCTACCACCATTCCAAAGATGTTGGCTAATCTTCTCAGTGAGAAGAAGACCATTTCTTTTGCAGGATGTCTCCTTCAGACATATTTCTTCCACTCCTTAGGGGCTTCTGAATGCTACCTTCTCACAGCCATGGCCTATGACCGGTATCTGGCCATCTGCCGACCTCTCCATTATCCTGCCATTATGACCACAGCACTCTGTGCCAAGATGGCTGCCAGTTGTTGGACTTGTGGCTTCCTGTGTCCCATTTCTGAAGTTATCCTGGTTTCTCAGCTCCCCTTCTGCAACTATAATGAAATCCCCCACATCTTCTGTGACTTTCCACCTCTGCTGAGCCTGGCCTGCAAGGACACATCTATTAACGTTCTGGTGGATTTTGCCATCAATGCGTTTATTATCCTCATCACCTTTCTCTTTATCATGGTTTCCTATGGGCGGATCATCGGGGCTGTGTTGAAAATAAAAACAGCAGCAGGAAGAAGGAAGGCTTTCTCCACATGTGCCTCACATCTAATTGTGGTCCTCATCTTCTTTGGGAGCATCATCTTCATGTATGTGAGGCTAAAGGAGAGCTACTCACTGACCCTTGACCGCACACTTGCTGTAGTGTATTCTGTACTAACACCACTGGCAAATCCAATCATCTACAGCCTTCGTAACAAGGAACTCATTAAAGCCATCAAGAGAACCATCTTCCAGAAAGAGCTCAAAAGTAGTCCAATACGCCACTGACTTTCTACTGAGATCCTTGCTTCATGTCCAGGTTCATCTTATGAAATTTTTAGGCTATTTAGCCTGGTCTTGAATACTCTTCCATTGTTACATGTAAACAGAATCCTGTCTCCTCTTACTTTCTTACAAACTTTGTATTTGTTACATTTTCTTTTCCACCCCCCACGTCTATACAATATCTACTTGAAGTCATAAGGGAGGAAGGTTTGAGGAATTTACATAGCAGTTAGGAGGGAGTCTACTAGTAAACGATTTGTTTGTCTAGCAGGTGCCTTTCCTTGGTCTGTTGGTTCCCATTCCCATGCCTGCAGATGAAGCACCTCTCTTTGATCTGTTATCTATTACCTGAGGATTAGGGAGTGTTTGGCTTGTGCATTTCCATATCAACCAGTCCCAGAGCCTTCCCAACAGAATTGCAATTGGCCATGGCTCCACACTGGCAAGGCTTCCCAATATCCTCTCAATCAATATCTTCCTACAAGGCATTAATCAATTGTCCTACAGATTGGAAATGGAACAGCCAGGACATAAACCAGCGTGCATATGGATTGCTGATGCTGCTGGCCACAACTTAACCTACCACATAATGTTAGCTCCCTCAATGTATTTGTCCAGCCTTCACTACTGGAAAACATTTTCTCCTGGTTTCCATAGCACCATATCCTTCTAATTTTTCCTTAGCTCTCCAAACAACTTTTCTAAATGTTCTCTTATACCACTCTCTAGCTAAATGTCCAGTTTTTGTTTTTAAATGGCTTTAGATACCATCTGTTCTGTGCAAACAACTCCTAGGTTTCTATCTCTACACTAGACACTGTTTTGAGCTTTTGACACATATGTAACTACACACTTGAGAACACTATTTGAATGACTCACAGGGATTTAAAATTTTATATTTTGAAGAATGAAATTTTCGAATTTCCAGCCATGAATACTGTATGCTATGATTGTCCCAGTTTTGTGCCAGAAATTATAAGATTTTATTTATTTATTTGAAAGGGAGACAGAGGGAGCTCTCTTACCCCTGCTTTTCTTCCTAAAGGCGCAGAGTATCTGTGTCTACATGAAGACTGAAGCTAGGACCTAGGAACTGAATCTAAGTCTCCCATGCAAGTGGCAAGGACCCAACTACTTGAGCCATGACCACTGATTTGGTCATTGGGAAGTGAGAATCAGGAACCTCATGTAGGACTCAAACCCATGAATTCTAATATGGATGGCAAGAATTCTAACTCCTAGACCAAACATCTGCCCACAAGTGATATGTTGAAATCTAAATTAGAAATGCTATTCCTAAGGCCATTCCCAATTGGATGTAAGATAAATCCTAGTGTCTCACCATGCTTCACGAGGCTAACAAAGCAGTTTACTGTCATTCTCTCCAACGTGACCCTCATTTCTTTACCCTTGTTTTATTCTTCCCTAGCCATATTGCCTCTTTTATTCTTTCAGACACTCAAATCTTTCTGGATTCAGTCTTTTCCATTGTACTTCCTTTGGTTCACTCCTTTTGTGTGTTCAAATATCACTTTCAAATGACATTATCTTTGAGAAGAATTCTGAACACCCAGCTGAATTCATGTTACTCATTTTCATCCTTTAAATTGTTTTATTTTTCTTCAAAACAGATGTAATCAATTATGCGTATGTGCTTTTGTAAATAAGTAGAACAATGTGTATATATATTATATAAATTAGAAAAATATGAATATACATTTATACATATATATTTATATATATAGTTTGACATTCTCTCCTAGAAATCTACAAACTGTGTTTGCTCTGATTTCATTTCAGACTTGTTGTTTGCTGTTTTTCTAGAATTTAGAATGTCTAAACGTATTATTTTGAACAACTGGTGAAAAAATATAATGAATATTATTTATTCCTGTCAGTTTTGTCATTGATCTTCAGTGATCCTAGTCTGATTCCTAACATTACTAGAACTCCTGGGTTCCAGGAAATACTGTGAGTCATCGTAGTTGTATTCATGTGGCTCACAAACCATCAGTCGCAGTTTGTTCTATGTCATCTTTGAATACTCCTAATAATTAGTCTTTATCTGAAAACCAGTTGTGTGCCACACTAGGTTATCTTTTTTATTTTGAAGATTTATTTTATTTTAAATTTTTTGGGGAAAGTCACATATACAGAGAGGAGGAGAGACAAAGAGGAAGTACTTCTGTCTGTTGATACACTCCCCAGTCAATCCGAAGCCGGGACTTCAGAACCTTTTTCAGGTCTCCTATGCTGGTGCAGAATTCCAAGGCTTTGGGCCATCCTTGATTGCTTTTACAGGCCAGAAGCAGGGAGTTGGATGGGAAGCGGGGCTGCTGGAATTGGAACTGGTCCCCACATAGGATCCTGGCACGTGCTAGGCAAAGACTTTAGCATCTAGGCTATTCTGCTAGGCCCTAGGTTATAATCTCTTGATATGTGTTTATTTATTCTCAAATTATGTTGAATAGGTAAGCAATCTCCAGATAAGCTTCATTGTAAAATTAAGTAGGTCAAAGTTACTATTTAACCCTTTATTTTCTTATGTAGCAGTATTGGTCTTGAATTTCAAAGCTAGCAATTAATCATAAAAATGAGATTTTTATTTCTCAATCACAAAGTTCTTAGAATCTCTGGAGCTTTCTAAACTATTTTCTCATACTTTTTGATATTCTAATAACTGCTTCAATTTCAAGACCTTTTTTCACCTACTTTTTTTTTTCCTCCTGTGTCTGCTGAGGGGAGAACGGAAGGGGGCTGCTCCTTGTACTCAAACTACATCAGCACCTGGAGATTGGGAGGCAGTCATTTGATAATGCCTTAGAGCCCCTGATGTTGGGAGAGTGTTCCGAGGGTGTTACTGAGTGGTTTTGATTGCTCTGAGACATTGTTGGCTTCCTTACGCCAGAGTTGAGAAAATCCTTCCAAGACCCACTGGCTGACCAAATCCATCCCAGTGTGCATCCATAGACCCAGACACTTGCTGCAAGGCTTAAACTCTACTGCTTTCCATTCTTTGATGAGGCACTTGGTGTCCTCTGCTGGCCTGGAGGAGCTGGCTGTCATGGTCCTGTGTATATCCAGACACGCTGTCCACTGCACAGGCATCAGCAACTGATGAGATTCAGTCCCAAATCTTGCACTCCCAAGGTTGGACCATGTATTTCTCTGTGGCCAGGATTTGAGTCAGGATATCTAGTTGGAGAGTCCCTTAGGGACTCTTGCATGAGGTGACCTCAGACTTGATTCCTATGTGTGGAAGCTAGTACAGCGTCAGGTTCTGCCACAGCCCATGCACACACCAGTGGATGCAGTTCACTAGTCAATTCTGCCATTAGTCCCATTTCTTGTGTGAACTGACGGGCACTCTTGCCTTGCCCAGCCAAGTCCAGCATAAACTCAGTCTTCATGTGGCTGAATATGGAAGAACTCCACAATTCCCTACCTATCCTGCTCCTAGCCACGGTTTTAGCATGTGTTGACTTGTGTTGCAGCCTAGCCTGGTCTCTCATGCATCTCCATCTGGCTGTAGTACACCCATGAGTAGTGCAACTTAACTCAGTGTTAACCTTAAACAGATCAGGGTCACGCATGCTGATGGGTGTTGTCATCTTGACTAGCCTGGCCTGCACATAGCCTTTGAATGTGTCTGCAGGTGCTGCAGCCTGTCCCAAGTAAACTTCCTCCCTGTTAAGCAAGGTGTACAGTCCACCCTGACTCAGCCTGTCGCTACTCCCCCAATTCTTGCATAAACAGGTGAGTGATGTAGTTACACAGAGGCGAACCCACAAATCCTCTATAGATGCTGCCCCAGATCCAGTTCTTTTGCATTCTGATGAGTGCTGCAGCCTAGTCTGGCGGCCCATCATCTGGTGATGGTAAAGTATTTACAAGCATGTCTACCTACAAATGCTTTAAATCAGGGCCCTTCCTCAAGAGAAGGAGAAATCAATGATAGACAAGGGATATTAATGAAAGGGTGAAGATGTATTTTAAACAGAACTTAACTACTAAACTAGGGTGTTGTTTAAGTATGTGTTTATATAGTCATTAATCAAATCAAACTAATGTGTTCATCCGCTAACATATTGATCATCTATTTGTGATCAAATTTTTAAAATCTTTTCCCCTAACATTTTAAAACTCAAACACCAAATAAAGTTCTGATGTTACATAGCCAGCTAGAAGAATATCAGGAATTTTAAATCTTAGATCGTGAGAAAAGACTCTTTTGGGGGTAAGTTAATGCTAAGAGGAAATTTTTGTTTTCTTGACAGAGGTAGGAACAGCAGACAAAATTGGGAATGTGCATTGGCAATATCTGTGCCATCCACACTCTGTCCTCATCATTTTGAGATCCAAGAAGGTTAGGAAGAAATGTCCTGTTATCATTAGGAGGTATATGTTTTCTCCCAAATCACACAAATCCCCTTTCCCTAGAATTTCCACAGCAGTTATTTCATTTTTGTTCAAGGAAAACATTCAAGTCTAAAAGGAAAACTTGAAGTGGCAGTTATTGCAGTAGTGAACTAACAGGTAATGAAGGACTCTTGGCTAATGAACTTCCTAGATGTCAGTTTGTCCTAAGAGACCATTTGAGCAACCCCGGGAGGTCTTCTCAGAAGACCCAGGAGCTTCTGTCCAATCAAGAATGTAGGTAATGGGAGAAGAATGTTTCATGTTTGACTTACTCCCACAGGTTCCATCAAATGCTAAGCTTTAACTTGTCCAGGTTTCAGGAGTGGTTCGATGTACTACTTCTAAAGAGAGCTAGAATCTGAACAGGCAGTTTCTTTGCACTTACGATTCTGCAGTGATTGGGCTCCCATAATCAAGCCAGAGCAGGTGTCTCCTCCTCACCAACGAGCTAGGGTAAGGACTTGGTCAGGCGGGTATTGGACCCTGTTACTTCCTTGTCTGAGCCTTGGGAATGCATTTGCAGCTTTCAGAAATTTCAGAATAGGTGTTGTATAACTAGTATTTATGGGGCACATCATTCAGAACACAGAAACACCATTTATAGGAAAACAAGTGTTCTGTTTACCAAATGCTACAGTGTAGTGTCCAGGTTCAGATTTAACTAATTGTAAAAGTATAACTCTTATCTGAATGACCTCCTCTTTATGAGTTCCAGTTTCTTTGTTGCAAAACAAGACACTGAATAAGGTGAATTCTAAAGATACACCCATCACCTTTTTATTTCTATAACTAAAACGTCATGGACTATGAGTAAGATAATTACAATATCTAGAATGCAGGGGACTTATTCTCTAAGTTTATTGGTGTGAGCAGAATTAAATATAATTGTAAGTAACCAAGGTAAGATAAATGCTGAATTGTACATGTAGCCCGGTTTTAAGGATCCTGACTTCAGTATCAAGAAAGTGAAGGAATTAATCAGGAACTAATGAGCTGAGGAAATAAATGTTATATTGTTCAACATCATCTTTATTATTAGGATATCAACAATTTTCTAAGCA